GCCAACAGAGTAATTGGAATAATTACATACCCATCGCCTGAAATATTACTATTTACAAACTAGCACCAAATAATTTTTTGAACTACTAAACTGATGGATTTACGTATACCACAATCAAACCAATGAAAATTTGATAAAAACGAAAAACACGAGTTTAGCTTTTATTGTAAATTTTGATATTTAAGTGAGAATTTGAAAAACGAGGATGATATATTTGTAAGTAGCAATGTTTTGAGTGCTATTATGCAACAAAGGACTAAACAATAGTGGAATTTAAACATAATTACCTCATCTAACAAAATGTTAGGTGTTTTAAAATCCCGATGAATAACCGGACTTTTAGCTTCATGGAGAAATGCAAGACCATTGGCAGCGCCATATGCGATTTTCACTCGAACACCCCAAGAAAGTCCGGGCAGAACTCCTGCAAATGAAAAAGACAAAAGTGCAATTATGAAGAATTCACAGGTGCAATATTACAATGTCAACAAAAGAATAACGCAACATATTGCATATAAACTTATTAAAATGTAAAGCCAACATATTGCATATAAACTTATTTAAATGTAAAGCCTTGTGTGTTCTTTATTCTATCTATATGAAAAATGAAGATTCAAGGGCATGCTTGGATGATGGATGTTTGAAACTATTAAAATAAGTCTCATGAGATAAACAAAGTTGTAAAGCCAACTGCTTGCCATGATGAAATAAAAAAAATGAAGTTATAATGCTTATAGATTGACGTATGTAACACCTAAAATTTGATATTTACATAATAATATTTTGTTGTCATAACCCATGCATGAAAAGTCACTTAAGAAGCTAGTAATAGTAGTAGTTTTGATATATTATTAAGGATTTGGGTGTCATGCTTATATGTAAATATTAAAAATTAGGTGACAGATATGTAAATACATAAAAAAATGTGTGGTATGTATGCAAAATGATCCTTATTGATGTTACAGATTAATAAAAATAAGGCACGCCTGAACAAAACAATAAAGGAAATTGACTTGCTGCTATTTTGTCTTTGCTTTTGTCAACTGTCAGTTAGCACAAGAAGTTTCTTACAATATTTAATTTTTTTAAATCTTTGACTCTTTCAACTTATATAGACCATCTATATATATATATATATATATATATATCATAAGACCCATTTGGTTGCATCATATTGAAAAGAATAAAAACAAAAAAAAGGGTTAAATTAGATTAAAATAGCTGGGAAATTTACATAGAGAACACACAATTCTTTTGTATTTACATATCAAACATCCAAAATTTGATATTTATGCATGAAAATGTGTATTGTACTTTTGATATGATGTTAGTACAAGGAAAAGTAGATTGATGAAAGACTAAGCACTGAAAATAAATAACTAATGTTCTAAGAAAATCATATTTTGCCTTCTAATGCACCTATTTTCTCATAAAGCTTTACATTTTACATTTATCACATTAAACAAATATCACCATTATACACTTTTCTTGCCCAAGTAAGATGATATATATGTAAAAATTAAAGTTTGGTTGTTAGATATGTATATATAAAGAAATTAATCGGCATTCATGCAGATCTTCCAAACAAAAAACAATTTCATACAAAAGTTGGTATAATTACTTGAAAACAGATGAGTTTCCACACTGCCCAAGGGCACGAACTCATACACAAGAACTCGGTGGCTCTCCTCGCAGCAGTATCCAATCAACTTCACCAAATTTGGATGTGAAAGTTGCCCTAGAAATAAAACCTCCGACTGCAAAATCACCATTTTTAATCACCCGGAACCAGTAACCGATCATCTAACATGAAGAAGAAGAAGAAGAAGAAGAAGAGTTAGTTACCAGCCACTCTCTGTGTCCCTGAAAACTTTTATCTCCATCATGAACTTTGACAGCAACTGGAAGAGATCGAATCCCCTTTCCCAAACCTTCTGTGATTAAACCCTTATAAACAAGTCCAAAACCACCTCCTCCGAGAACACTTTCCTGACTGAAATCCCCTGTTATTCCTTTTAGTTCATCGTAGGTGAAAGCAATCAAAGGATTTGCAGCAGAATCCCTGCGCAGCTTTTCAACTTCCTCGGGAGTAGTTGGCAATATACAGTGTTCTTGCTCATGCTCCTCCTCCTCCTTCTCCTTCTTTTCCTTCTCCTGCTCTTTCGCTAAAGAAAGACTGGTGGCTTTCGGAGATTCTGCCATTGTTTTGGGGCTTTGATTAGGTTAGGGAAGAAAAGGGGGAAAAAGCAGGTTCGAAGGATAAAAAGGTGAAATTTTTTTTAAAAAGTTACCTGATTTTGCAGTGGAAGATACTCTGTTAAGTGAAGGAATTCCGATGAAGGAGCAATTACCCATTACTGATAAAAGAAGAAGAAAAAAGTGAAGCTTTCTAAGCTGACGGAGAAGCCGACTCCATGAACAGAAGAAGGGAGGTTGGAAGGGGGAGGGAGGGAGGAGGAAAGTGAAAGGAATGTGTTTTTTTATGAAGACAGGAGATAAGATCGAAGACACATCCGAGGTTTTAAATATGAAAAATTCAAAAGGTAGAGATGAGTAAATGGGAGATTACCCGAAGTCTTCTTGGTAGGGATGACCGGAAAGAAAAAATAAAGAAAAATAATGAAAATTACCTGCTGTAGATTTCAGTGGGATTTGTACTTTTTAATTTGGATTTTTTATTTTATTTATTTTTTTTTAAAAAAAAATTGATCGTAGATCAATCCCATAGTCTGATCGAGGGGCGAATCTCCTTACAGAAAGGTGTGCAATTTAATTCTACGCAATGATCGAACCCCCGACCAGACAAATTTACACCAAAGGCTGCAACCAATTAGTCAGACTAAGGCACACATATACCACTTTACTTGTATATATATATAAGAAGTATTTCATTTTTTTTATGTGGTATGTGTATATGCAAATATTCTTTTATTCTTAAAAGTTGAAATAGTGATATTTTTATGAGACCAAAAATTTTGTTGGCATAATTATAAACAATACAACTTAAATGTTAGATATATAAATATTTAGATATTAGGTGGTATGTATCTAAAATGCAATGTTAGGAATCCTTAATGATAATTTAATTAAGGGATCATTTACATACAAACCACTCAATTCCTATGTATTTGCATGTCTAGCACCTAAATTTCAATATGTATATACATACCACCTTACCTATAGATTAAAAGAACGTTAAAAGGGTGGTATTTTGTTATGTGAAAAGAAATACTTGAGTTGTTTGAATGTAAGAAAAGGAAAGTTTAGGTGATAGATATGTAAATACGTAGAAATTGGGTAGTATGTTTGTAAATACTTCTTAATAAAATTAGAATTACACACTATGGGGAATTCTAAAACATATCTAACTCAACTTTTATACATGTGATGTAAGACATTTTAATTTTTTAATCCTTGTTTTTACAACAAACAACATAAATATCCACTCAGAGAGAGGAGAAATTATTGCATCACGACACCTGACACATATTTTCATCAGAAGTCCAATTAAAATTGGCCACATCAAAATATGGACCCCACTGAAATACACTGGTTGATTGTTTTTTAAAAGCGTGGGACCCATTCTAACACATGACCAATTTTAATTGGACACTTACACAATTTTTATGCATTTACATATTTATCTATTTACATCAAAGTTTAATATTTATATTTATTATACTTTGATGTCATTAATCTCTGCATGAAAAGATATATTTCACTTTAAAAAATAGTGATGGCAGTATTTTTAAGGTGATATGAGATATCGAATTGGCGTGCATGTAAATATGGGAGTTTAGGTGTTAGATATGTAAATAAATCAGAAATGCGGGGTGTGTATGTAAATAACTTTTGATGTAATCTTTCAAGATTCAAGTGTCCCCCAACACACACAACATTAATGAGAAGGGAAAGTAGGAGAAAAATGAGAGCTTTCTTAATCGGTTGAATGTAACCTCACCAAAATAGCTTTAGTGGGGCTTTGATGTTGCACATATTTGGCATTTCCCACTTTCTCTACAGCTTCTTTTTTTCTTTTTTTAAGGAAAACATTAAGTCATTTTGTTTTCTCGTGGGTGGAGTCTATGCAGAGTCTTGTATTATTCGTAAGTTCATACAGCCTGGTAAAGAGAGTCTGAAGAACTTGTATTGTAGAAAGAAAATAAGAGAGGGGGAGAGAGAGTCTTAAAGAATGTATTGAATTTTTTTATCTCCGACGAACAAAAAAATTTAAGCCCCTCAAAGGCCCTCTCTCCTCTTTCGCTTAACAAATACAGTAATAAATGAGTTGTTTTGTATTGTATGACACCCTTTCTTGGAGGCTTGAAGAAAATACTGAATTGGGTGTTAGATAGTGTTGATACGATGCTCATCCTGGTGTTTGGGTGAAAGTAATAAGTCTCAAATGTCGGTTGGGCGACATTTTTAATAATGAGCTGATAGATGTTCTTATTAGTCATGATAACTCTATTTGATAGCTTCCCTCACACAAGAAGTTGGTTTAGGTCGTTCTTTCGAAAGAAGTGAATGCAGCTACTTTGGTGAGTCGGCTCAGTTCAATCGCTTTAGCAGGTAGACTCGAAGAAGTAAAAAAATTTCGTATAATTATATTTTTTGTATACGCCTACTATCAATCGATTTTTTGGCTCTAGATTTTTTTAACATTTGATAATTGAATGGACTATTTTACACCATTCCTCATCAAATTTATATAATGATTTTATTCCTACTTTGGACGGAATCATCAAATTTTCTTACATATCTAACATCTGAACTTTAATTTTCACATACGTGCCTGTTTACCTATGTATGTAAATGTGAATATTTGGATGGTATGAATGTAAGAAAGCAAAGTTTAGTTGGTATATATGTAAATACATGGAAATTAAAGGCTTGCACGTAAATACCCCTGATATTTAGGATTGATGCCCAGCCACGACTGTAAACATCAAGCTGCATGGAGTCAGCCAAAAATATCTACCGAGTTTCTCTGTGTCGGGGGGAAAAATAGTACATCAAGACTCCCGATGCATTCAGAGTTTAATGATGGGGTACCACGTGTCAAGTGAGCTCCATCATTTCTAATATTAGTGTATTGTGATGGAATCCACTTGACACGTGGCGTCCTGTCATTGGACTTTGACGTAATATTTACTCGTGTTGGGGAGGGAGGCTGCGGCGGGGCATGGGGCCTGGGAGTGGGGCTGCGGGGGAACAATTTATATCATTTTCAAAGGGCTGATGTTTGACTGGAAGTGATCAACTTTGAATTATATTTGACAGAGTTAATTATATCTAACGTAAAAATAACCCTAAAAATATCTTGAGAAGGCTAAAAATTATTTAATTTATAACAGATGGTGTATTTGTCTCGAATTTGTCATTTTTATATTGAGAACCAATAACTTAAATAACTTGTCAATTTATATAAAACTATTTGGGGTATGTGTGTGTGTGTATATAGGTACATACATGTATATAGTTATGCATATGTATGGTATGTATGTATGTAACATGAGTGTGTGTATAGGTATATACATGCATACATACATATGTATATTTATTGAAAAATATGTTGTTGCGTGTTGGAGAATTCACGGCGGTAGCATTATTGTAACGTTTCTTAGCATTGTACGAAAATTTAACACACACATAGATAGAACAAGAGTTGAATAGAGAAAACACTAGATAGTTTTACATACCCAAAGCGGGAAATAGCAAGAGGTTAGGCACAGTTGAAATGGTTTCACTATTCATATATAAGTCACAATATTTTTCCAGAACTTGAATGATAAAAAAGTTACATTACAAGAGTGGGGGAAATCGACTTTAACTCTCACTAAAGACGAGGCATAAAATATCGCGGAAGTGATAGCGACCTAGTTGCGACGATGGATGACTGACGCAGGGGATATGTGATGGAAATCTGGATTCAATTTCATCGATTGCGGTTAGCGATAGATAATAGTAATCTAAGAATCGTTGTAGTGATAGCTAGAGAACAGTACTCCGATGATGGCACTCCAACAATGGAGGTCTAACTGTGGCAATGGCGTCAAGCTAGCACTAATGGTCTGACGACAACTGTGATAGTTTTAGAGCAATGGTGGGAGACAATGGCAATAGTAGCATTAGCTAGTGACTATTGGTTCGTTGGCTGGTAGAAAAAGGTGCTCTGATGATAGTAGGGGACATGAGATAGTGATCCGTCGAAGTCGATAGTAATCTTCAGACAATAACTACAGGTGATACATTGGCGGGACTATCCAATTACAACAACTATGGAACAACAACATTGGCCAGTCGATGTTGATTTGGTTGTGATAATAGCTGAATTATGGTGATCTGGAAATGATGGAAATGAAGGTGGCAACACCTTTTTTAGGTGACCACGACCTAATGACTCTTTTGGAGCTTCAACGTCGTCGGCTAGGTGACAGTGGTTTGTGGGTGGCATTCACAACAACAATTCCAATGGATGGATAATGATAGTTTGAAAATTACAGCTTACTGTGACAATGATGGTGATAATTAGACAATAGTCATATGGAAAAGATGAAGGTGTATCACAAGTGTGGTAGCGACCTAATGACAGTGATCCAGCATCGCAATGGCTAGATTATGGTGATTCAACAGAGCGATGATTAGGTAACAACAATCTGTCATAATGATAGCTGGGTGATGATGATTCGACATAATGAGAAATTGACCATGATGATCTAACATAGCGGCATCTGTGATATGATTATCCAACGATTGTGGTGATGGTTTGGCAATGACAACTTGGTGGTGAAGGTGGTGACTCGATGACGGTGGTTTGACGGTGTTGATGGTGGTGGCAGCTTGGCATCGACCAGGTGACGGTGGTCCCTTGGCGTAGACAACCCAAAATCTATGATGTTGGCATGACGTTTGCAATCAAGCACAATAAAGGTGGTCTGATGATGGTAGCTTGATGGTGGCAATTATAGCCTTACAAGATTGGTCTGATGGTACGGGCAGTGGCATGACATTTGTTAGGTGATGATGGTCCAATGGTTGCAATAATAGTGGCAGTTGTTTGATGTTGGAGGTTTGGATTGATAGTGATGATTTATCATTGTTCAGGTGATAGTGGAACAGTGATTGGTACAACTTGACGATGGTGGTCCAACATAGCAGTAGTGGTCTAATGTCAGCGATCTGGCCTGACAGCAGTGCCCGACGTTGGCTAGGTGAGTGCACTTTGACGACAACGTCAGCTCATGATAGTGATTTAATGATAGAGGCAATGACCCGACATTAGTCATCTGATCATGGTTTGAATATGGGCGACAACTGACAACAGTGGTTCAAGGGTGGTAGCGGTGGAAAACGACATTGTCCAGGATGTTATTAGTAGAATTCAAGTTGGTTGGTTGAAGTGGAGTAATTCTTCGGGCTTATTGTGTGATAGAAGATGACCGCTTAGACTGAAGGGAAAATTTTATAAGATGGTGGTGAGCCCTCCAATGCTCTATGGCACCAAATGTTGGCGTCGAGATGAGAATGCTTAGGTGGATGAGTTGCTTTGCACTTAGAGACAAATTGTGAAATGAATATATTTGTGCTAGGGTTGGTGTAGCTCCAGTGGCGAAAAAAATTAGTGAGAATTACCTTAGATGGTTTGGTAACATTAAACGTCGATCATCTGATGATTCGGTTAGGAGAGCAGATATTTTAGATTTGACTTATGTTAAGCAAGACAGAGTAGACCTAGAAATGCTTGGGCATATTGTATAAAAAATTATATTAATTTGTTAAAATTAAATGAAAATATGACACTCAGTAAGACACAATGGAGAAAAATGATTCATGTAGCCAATCCCATTCAGTGGGATAAAGACTTATTCTTGTTATTATTGTTCTTTGGCACCATTAAGTAATAATATAAAACTATTTTAATTTACACATCGAGTAATTTATTGGAAAAATTATTTAATTTATGCTAAAGCTAATAAACATAAATATTAAGGTACATTATATATAAAAATTGATTAAAACGTAAATGAGTCCTTGAGAAAAAAAAATGTAAATTGTCATTGATTGAGCATTTTATGAATTCTTCAGTAAGCTATCCGTTCAACAAGAAACATAGTATTTATGAATATAAATAAATAAATGGAGTATGTTCAAATTTGCCTATTCCTATAAGCAGTTTTTAAAAACTCATTCAAAGTTGTTCTTCGAATGCACAAATTCATCTGTGTGTGTGTGTGCGTGCATGTGTGTGCCGCATATCCCAGCTTGTTGGTTGGCATCCACGGTATAAGGCCCTTGAGGTTGGGGTTTTGAATCCCCTTCGGCTTGTTGGTTGGCATCCACGGTATAAGACCCTTGAGGTTGGGGTTTCGAATCCCCTCTGACACAGTTAGCCTTAAGTAGGTGGTACTCAAATCAATCCCCTCTAAGGCCCATGGCCCAGCCTGTCATAGCAACAAACATTCTAATGCTATTAATTATTTACTTCAGTTACTGTTGTTAATAATGTCAATGTCATTAACCCCAAACCTTAATTTGTCAGATGATATATCTACTAATTTTTCTCTCTTTTTTTTTCTTTGTTGGTTTTGTATGTCTTCCTAAATTTTATTGCTTGAGATTTTATGCTCTTCTTATTTTTTTGGGGCCCCCAATTTATTCAAGGTTTTATAACTTTTTATTCATCTGTTAATTTTTTTTATTAGAGTGATGTATGTTGTTAACAATTCTGCTTTTAAGAAGGATTTGTGAGATTTTAATTATGTTATTGGTTAAGGTATTAATGATCTTTGTTTATTTTAATTGGTATAATAAGCAACTAAATAATCCTATTATATGACTTCTTGATTGGGCCTTATATAATTCTATGTGGATTAATGCTTTTCCTAATTCTCATTTTAAAGTTATAAAATCTTTTTTTTTTATCATCACCTTATGTTTGTTAGTTTGGGTAATTCTGATAAAATATTTTGCTGATTTATTTATATTAACTTTCTTAGTATTATGTCCTAATTTTCATTCTATTATCTTTAATAGTTGATATAAGCTCCTTAAGGGGGGTCTTTCATTTGTTTTATGTAATTGAATTAGAAATGTTAAAAAGGCTCTTAAGAAGGCTCTTAAGGGTTGGAATTGGAATTTCTATTATATTATTTATTAGCATATTGCTGATATTAAAGACAAAAAAAGTAAAAGGTGTTGAATCAATTAGAAGTTAATCCTCTCTGTAAAAATCTTCTTGCTTGAGACTCTAATCTTTAAAATGATATTTTTAAAGCTTATGTCTATGATTATAAGTGGGCTAGGAGAAGGGCTAAATTCTCTTGACTTTCTAGAGGTGAGGATGATGTTAATTTTCTTTATTACAAAACCAAGTTGGTATTGTTAATGAAATAATTTCCTAATTTTTCAATTTGCTTAATAGCCATATTAATGATTTTTTGTATTAGGTAATCAATTTTCTATAAAAAGAGTTTCTTAATAATGATGATTGTCTAGCTCTTTCTCTTAATCTTTGGTTGATGATATCAAGCAAGATTTATTTTTTATTGGCTTTAAAAAATTATTAGGGTGGGATGATTTTACTTTTAATTTCCAAAAATACTGAGATTTTACTTGTTTTGTTGCATTCTTGCTACTAATATTTTTTTTTCTTAAGACTTTTATTCTTCCTTTGATTACTATTGATCTTATTTCAAGGAAATCTGATGCTAAATCTCTTATTTCTTGCAGACCCATTTCTTTTTGTAATATGATTTATAATTTTAACATTATTCTTCTAACTATCAAGCGTAAAACCGTTCTTCATAAAATTATTCATCCCGTGTTAGCAATTTTTATTAAAGATTGTGATATTTTAGATAATATTATTTTAGCTAATAAACTTATTTATGGTTTCAATTTTTATAATTATGCTAAAAAGTTGTGTTAAAAACCGACTTAATGAAAGCCTTTAATAAAGTTAGTAGAAATTGTCTTTATGATTATATGTACTTCTTGGGCTTTCCTCTTATTCTTGTTAATTGGATTAGAGCATGTACTAATAAAAACAACTGTTGTATTTGATTATTTTCCTTCTAGCTCTGGCTTACGGGGTAATGTTACTCTCTTTCTCCTTACCTTTTTGCTATTGTCATGAATGATTTTTCTTATTTATTCGAGTATGATATTGATAATGACAGCTGTACTGGTCATGTTGGAAAGGAGATTATTTCTCATTAATTTATGTTGATGATCTTCTTCTTTTTGGTAAGATTGATAAAAATTATATAAATATCTTTCATTATTTCTTATTTCTTCTTTTTGGTAAGATTGGTAAAATTGTACCTCCCATGACGTATACGACGTCTTCCTTGCTTCACCCGACACAAAAAAAAAAATATATATATATGTGGGTAGCGGGCGGTGACTGGTGTGGGCCGGTGCTTGGCTGCAATGGTGGGCGAGCGGCGGCGAGAAGTGGCTCGTGGCTTGATGTCTCATCAAAAAAAAATTTATCATGAGGCACAAATCTTGATGCATTTTGAGCAAGAAATATCCCAAATTTAAATTCAAGATTATTCAGACCTCATTGTAAGAAAATTTATGGTCAAATTGAGTGTCTTGATAAAAACTATACGATAATACTGAAAATGATCCAAATCCATATAAGCCCAAATAAAACAATTCAAATGTTCTTAAAACTTGGCATGCTTATAGTCAAATTAAACGTATCAATGAGAGTAATAACCTATGATCAAGAGAATCAATGTAGACTGTCTGATTAAATATCTTAACAATTTTCCTGAATTTATTAAAAGAAGACTCTCAAAAGCTAAAAGTAGGACTCAATTCTTTAGCTGAAGATATGAGAGCTGACTCTTGAAGTCCTACGTTTAAAATAAAAATATTATTTGGATTCACTTTTCACAAAAAAAATATAAAATAAAATAAAATAAATAAAAAAAATTTGCACGAACTTCAAGGAATCTTGGATGCCATGATATTAATTGATTTATTACTAATATTATATTAAAAGAGTTTTTATTTCAGTACTATGGTCTCCACGATATAGCGGGCGAATTTCTTCTAATCGTATGCTACGAAATTCTTGCTGCAATTTCGTGGGCCGGGACTCCGGCCCAAGAATTGAAGTTATATTTTTTTTAATTTTAAATGTTTTTCACGCCATGCCCAAATCTTTTAGTTTTTATTCGATTTTTACCTTCTCAGATATATACGTAGCATACAAAATCTATATAAATGTAGAGAGCAAGAGAGCGGTGGATAGAGAGAGAGAGAGAGAGAGAGAGAGAGAGAGAGAGAATGCCGCTAAACTCCATGAGGCAGCAAATGGCAGCCATCTCCCACTCCACCACCACGACCTCCTCCGTTGAAACCTCCCTTACAAACATCTCCACCACAACAGAAAAAGCCCACATACAACTTACAATACCAAACGGCCAAGCCCAAACAATCAACAGCCCA